CTTTAACCAGCATATGCTATGGATTCCTAAGAATCAAGGTCGTCTACGGCTATGTAATGGCTTTATGAAATTACCCATGCAATTAATAATATTTCTTCAAATCAAAAATAAAGAAGTAAAATGATATGTGTGTTACTAAATGCTAATAGAGTATAAGGGATAATCAAAGGAATAATAAAGGAATGATAAAGGGTAATGGTAATTAAAAGGAGTAAAGGTAATTATTAACTTCGCTTTTGTCTTTTATATTTTTTTATAAAGGGACAGGGATTAACACAATTTAATTATGGCATGGTTGGTTTCTCAGGAAAAATGTATGCTATCAAAGTAGGTAAATGCTAATGGGAGTTTTATGGTGTCGAAGTGTATGCTAATCACGTCTCTTTTTTTTTGTAGAGGTACTATCAGCTCAAGATGCCGTTATGCGATTTTTGACGGTGTCGATTCAATCACGAGGATCAGCGAGGATCGCGGATTCGTCAAAGTCTTTGTATAGTCTTGATGCGGCTTCGTAGTAGGTGGTGGTATCGATTGGGTCAAGATGCTGTTACCGGTGGCGATGGGATAAGGTACGTAATGGTAAATAATGGATGGTGTTGAGTGCGTTTGATGGCATAAGTATATGCTAACAGAGTTCTTGTTTATTTGATAGGTTATACCATTGCGTCATGATTTCTGGGGGCATGCGATTGTGATCGTAATTGTGATCGTGACTATGATCACGGCCATGACAGCTTCCCGGCATTCATATCAGAGCTGTCATGCCATTGTAGGTGGGTTCTCCTAGGTCGATTGAATCAAATTCATCCTCACTTTTATAAAGACAAAGGTTTTCAAGCATTAGGTCGCTAGCTTTAGGTGTTACTGAGTTCGGAAATCCACCATCCTCCTCTTCAATTATTGACGGTGTCCCACTACCTTGATGTCCATCCAGAAACACGAGCAAAGGATACACTTTTCGCTAATTCGGTCATCAATCTTTTCATTTTTGAGTGTAAAAAAAACTCCACTGGTTCTCTTGGAATCTATGATGATCAATGACCTCTGTGGGGGATGCGCAATCATGATCACGATTATGGCAGCATCCCGGTGTTTGATCTTTGGAGTTATCATCATTCTTGTCTTTTTTTTCTTCTTTCCGTTGGAGCCTTGGTTGCGGTATGCTTCGTCGTTCACGGTGTATAGGTCTTTTCGTGATTAGAGGCAATCGTGATCGTGATCATGATCATGATAGCATTTCGGCATTTCTAGTCGTCGGTCTTGGTCATATTCTCTCGTCTTGATGTAATTCTAATAAGTTGCGATGTTTGTGGCATTTTCTTCTTTTGCAGCTTTTTACCATCGGCTTCTAACTCTTTCTTACCAGTTTTTTCCTAGCCCCATGCTTCACATTCGATTCACCATCTGCGGGTTCTCCTTGACCCTCGGCGATATTTATCATCCCTCGCATGTGCTACCGGAGTCTTGTCGGTAAGTTTCAGTTCTTTTTGTCTTCTGGTTTCTTCGCCGTTCTTTTTTTTTTTTTTATTGGATGGTTCTTTCCTCCTTTTAGGAACTCGTCCCTTGCTTCTTTTGGCATCGCGACTTTCGTGATCATTGGTATCCCGGCATGACCTTCGGAACCGACAACTTGTTAAGAGGCAAGCGTTCTCTTTCTTCTCTTTTCATTTTTGATTGTGATCATAACCTTAAACTTTTCTTCGCAATAGAAGCATGAGCTTGGGCATTAAATTGTGTACTCCCAAGGCCGCTCATGGGCTTAAGGAAGATGTCCCGAGGTTGAGGTAAGATTTTTTTTTTTTTTTTTTTTAATGGATGACTAATACTAACTCAGCGTCATTCCTTTCCCCATCATTTTAGGTCGTGGCGATGTTATGGATCCGAGAAACTTTGTCGACAATTGTGGCAACTGTGTTTCTGCAGGTAGAACAAGTAGTCATGGTGGGAAGCAGATTTATCCCATTCTCGTGATGTTTTTGATGCTTGCTTCATTTTTATTGTTAAGTTTTTTTAATCGTTTTCAATATATATTTTAAGAAAATGGCCAATACTAATCTGTCGTTTCTTCTTCCTTGCACTGAGATGCGGCAATCTTCTCGCGATCGTACTGCATCCTGGCAGTATCCTTGCTGAAAGGTAAGTATCTTCTTGATCCGGGATCTTCTTTTGTTCTTGTTTCTTCTTTGGGCAGGGGCGGCGAATTCTTATCGTTACGGTGTCATTCATTTATCATTTCATCATTTTTTTTTTTAGGGGAGAGGCGCATATACCGCTGATCCTGTGATCGTTATTCTTTAGGCTTCGCTTTTCTTTTGCGCAAGTCATTCTGGAGCTTCTATTGTTGGATTTGGACTTCTTTTAGGTCGGGACGATGCTTCTTCTTCTATTCAGCATATACAAGCAGCCGAATTCTTCTTGGGCATCGTTATTGAAATGGAATTGGTCTTCGTTTCTCTGATCGTCGCGGACACAACGTCGCTTTCGTCGCTCCTTGAAGATTGAACTTCCTCGGAGGTAATGAAGTGTCAGATCTCACAGTCACCACCAAAATATAAGGGCGTAACAGCGAGTCAGTCGCTAAGGAAGACAAAGTTTTGCGTAACTTCGGTTAGTGTGAGTAATACTTAAGGTGAAGGAGGCGTGTTTGGATTTGGGCAAGTATTATTCAGATATTTTGTTATTTGTAATATCGGGGTGTATGTCTTTATTAATTTTTCGTCTATTCCTTTTATACATCTTTTTATTTACAAGGGCTAGTGCGGCTATACTTTTAAGAACAATAGTTAGGCTGAGTTTTTAGATTACATAAGTTCTTTTATTACAATCACTTCTTTCTTCCTCGCATTATATAATCGCACACTGCCAACCAAGAATCAGTTTTTCTTGTGTACCCTTCGTGACGATCAGTCACGTGATACGCGATGCGTCTCAACTTATCCCTTACAATATTAATAGAACTTAACTAAACAAATTATATACTTCAAATAGAGAAAGTTCTCTAAAGAAGTGACAGACTTGTCAAAAGTAACATCAACAGTATAGTTTTAAAAATTGAAATTGCATAGACTTGCATGGATTTGCATGGACTTATATATATATAAAAAACATATGTGAATTATAACCTATCTATTAAATTTATTATAAAAGTTGAAATCAAATAAAATTAAACACAGAATTGTTAGGATTCTTAGTCAACAGTAAATAGGTATAGTCACTACTTAGCTATATTTAGTATATTAATATTGTTTTAAAATTTATTTTTAATATTAGTTAAATATATATTGTAAAACTGTGAGTCAATAGCATAGTAGTTAATGCTTTCAGATTTAGATCACAAATACTGGTTTAACCCTAGGTAAAAACAGTTGAATAGAATTAATATAGTATTCAGTACCATAATTTGTTAAGTACTATTTCTTATAAAAAAAACCAATTCACATGTTGATCCAAGCAGGTGTCAAGAATATAATCTCTAGAAAAGGTGTTGTGACACAATGATTATCTAATTGATATTATAATAATTGCTAAAAATAAAAAAAATATATGATAGAAGTTGTGTCCTGCTTGGTATTTATACCTCTAGATTTGGTAGCCTAAGCTAACTGAGAGCCTATAGAGTGTCTATTGGGAGATTTAGGAGTCACACTCCACTTGATCAACAATCAAGCCCCCAGATTTGGTAATGTATGCCAACTATAAGAACAACTTTCAGAGCATTTACTAGAAAGTAAAGGAAAGTAAGACCATGGATACTAGTATTACAAATCATTAGTTGAAAAGTTTGGAATTAACCAATTAAAGTATAGGGATTTTTAGTTGCAACTAGTTGATTATAATTAAAACAACTAATCGATTGGAAAAATTTTAACCAACTAAGATTATTAATGGATATTATGGATGCTTGAGCTCAAGGTGTGAAGTGATAAGGAACCTAGTAACAGTTAACATGCTTACCATCAACAACTCCCCCCCCAAAAAAAATTGGAAACCAAGATTAAGAGTTTTTCACCTGACATATGAGCCCACCTCCTGGATATAAGTAAGTAAAGTTGAGTTATAATAGGCAATGCTAAGATTAGATTAGCTAAATAGTTAGTCAGATATTTCATGTAATGACAAATAATTCTAGTAATTAATAAAAAGTCTTGCATGTAATGTGTTTTGCTTATAAAAAAAAATGAAAAAAATATATGAAGTATTCAATACAAAACAAGTTAGTTTGATAATCATTTCCTGTAGTATTTAATGTCTCTTCTTATAAGTCTATCAAAAGAAGATTCATCTTTACAGATTTTTATTAGTCAAAATAGGTTATAATGATATAATATACAATAAATAGAATTAAAATAGAAGTGAATAGAGTTAAATAAGATTCAAAGTTAAAAAAAATTCATTTAAAAAAAATAATAATAATAACAGACTTAATCTGGATAGTTAATATTACCTATAGATGGATTTTAATTAATATAAGTATACTTAAATTTAAACCAATAATGTAATATTATTTATCTTTTTATTTTGAGTTTATGGTAATATATCATATAATCTTTATTTGACAATATAATATTTTTTTTTCCGTAATCAAACAAGTGCATATATTTATTAAATCTTTACAGAAAACAAATAATATATAATACATTATTTTCCCAGGAATGGAAAATGAAAGGGAGCAACTTTATTCATCTCCAAAATCATATCTAGAGGTTAATAGCCAAAG